ACCTGATGATTTGGAATGTCATATCTTCGCGCGGAGCTATGTCGTTTTGGAACGTCATATCTCCGCGCGGAGCTATTATCCGAGATATTATGTCGTTTTGGAAAGTCATATCTCCGCGCGGAGCTATTACCCGAGATTTGATATCATTTTGGAACGTCATATCTCCGCGCGGAGTTATGTCGTTTTGGAACGTCATATCTCCGCGCGGAGCTATTATCCGAGATATTATGTCGTTTTGGAACGTCATATCTCCGCGCGAAGCTATTACTCAAGATATTATGTCGTTTTGGAACGTCATATCTCCAGCGCGAAGCTATTATCCGAGATATTATGTCGTTTTGGAACGTCATATCTCCAGCGCGAAGGTATTACCCGAGATATTATGTCGTTTTGGAACGTCATATCTCCAGCGCGAAGCTATTAACCGAGATATTATGTCGTTTTGGAACGTCATATCTCCAGCGCGAAGCTATTATCCGAGATATTATGTCGTTTTGGAACGTCATATCTCCGCGCGGAGCTATTACCCGAGATTTGATATCATTTTGGAACGTCATATCTCCGCGCGGAGTTATGTCGTTTTGGAACGTCATATCTCCGCGCGGAGCTATTATCCGAGATATTATGTCGTTTTGGAACGTCATATCTCCGCGCGAAACTATTACTCAAGATATTATGTCGTTTTGGAACGTCATATCTCCGCGCGGAGCTATTACCCGAGATTTGATATCATTTTGGAACGTCATATCTCCGCGCGGAGTTATGTCGTTTTGGAACGTCATATCTCCGCGCGGAGCTATTACCCGAGATATTATGTCGTTTTGGAACGTCATATCTCCAGCGCGAAGCTATTAACCGAGATATTATGTCGTTTTGGAACGTCATATCTCCAGCGCGAAGCTATTATCCGAGATATTATGTCGTTTTGGAACGTCATATCTCCGCGCGGAGCTATTACCCGAGATTTGATATCATTTTGGAACGTCATATCTCCGCGCGGAGTTATGTCGTTTTGGAACGTCATATCTCCGCGCGGAGCTATTACCCGAGATATTATGTCGTTTTGGAACGTCATATCTCCAGCGCGAAGCTATTAACCGAGATATTATGTCGTTTTGGAACGTCATATCTCCAGCGCGGAGCTATTATCCGAGATATTATGTCGTTTTGGAACGTCATATCTCCGCGCGGAGCTATTACCCGAGATTTGATATCATTTTGGAACGTCATATCTCCGCGCGGAGCTATTATCCGAGATATTAAAAAAAATCATCGAAAAAGTTTCAATTTTAGCACCGACCTCGATGTTGAAAAAAAAAACCTGATGATTTGGAATGTCATATATTCGCGCGGAGTTATGTCGTTTTGGAACGTCATATCTCCGCGCGGAGCTATTATCCGAGATATTATGTCGTTTTGGAACGTCATATTTCCGCGCGGAGCTATTATCCGAGATATTATGTCGTTTAGCAACGTCATATCTCCGCGCGGAGCTATTACCCGAGATATTGAAAAAAATCATCGAAAAAGTTTCGATTTTCGCACCGATCTCGATTTTGAAAAAAACATGATGTAACCCCTTGCCATTTTGTCGATTTGGGTCAACATTTTGGATTTCCCTTTTTTAATGCCAATCGTTAGAACTGATCCTTACGTGTCAAAAATGGTATGAAATTCCAAAATCGGAGATTATTTGACGGAAATATTCCAAAAAATCATTAAAAACGTTGTCTTTACGAACTAATGGCTTTTTTGTCTTTAACATTTTTGAACCCATCGATTTTTAATTTGTTTGAATGCCAATTGATGGTAGGGATCCGTACGCATGCAAAAAGGTATAACATTTTAAAAACAGATAATTGCTCCGCGCGGAGATATGACGTTCCAAAACGACATAATATCTCGGTTAATAGCTCCGCGCGGAGATATGACGTTCCAAAACGACATAACTCCGCGCAAAGATATGACATTCCAAATCATCAGGTTTTTTTTTTCAAAATCGAGGTCGGTGCTAAAATTTAAATTTATATCGTATTGGTCTTTGATTTGTATAAAAGGCATCGAATATACGATTTCCAACAATATTTCGCAAGAGAAATTGCAAGTCCTCTAATGTCCACTCAAGTCTTATCTTTACAGTGTTTCTTTTGTGCAATACTGGATCAGCTATTACTTATCTGATTATATTCCCAATATTCCCTCTGCATGATCCTTACGCCAAAGTCTGTGGCCTCTAAAGCAATTCCTTGTAGGATTCTACGGATCTTCAATATAAAGTATAAATGGATCTGAAAGCTTTTCTTCTGAGTACACCAAGCTTTCAGCTATTTACCCTTAACACAATACCTTGAAATAGCTGAAAATCTCGTAAATAAAACCATGGTATATAGAATATAGTATTACTTATCGTAAGGGATTTATTCTGAAACGGTTTTTCTCTTTCGGTAACAAAAGACTGGAGATCGCAGCTAATTCGGATCTTTGCTTATGTTTAAAGAACTGAAACTAATGCATAAATAAATGTAAGTATAATTGGTATATAAGTTGTAATTAGTTTAAGTGCATAATACAATTCCCTTTCACACATACACATGCACACATGCACACACACACACACATTCGCACAAAAATAAAAAGCAAGCTCGTAAAGGCAAACGTGCATCAGTTTTGGTCCATTTTCGGGCACTTAGGACCCATGCCATATTTTGACACTGACACGCGGGACAGTTGAATAAGTACATATATATATATATATATATTTGTATATATATATATATATATATATATATGCACATGTGTATACATATAGATCTATAAATAAATATGCATGTACTCTCTTTATCATTTTTGGGTTTTCGTAGGCAAAACAACGACAACCGAAATATACTTAACATACATAATTTTTTGATTTTGTTTTCTGTTTGTTTATAAATACATTTTCAATGTTTCCAACAACAACAATTGAATTTCAATACATATATATGTATATATAGATATAACTATATATATATATATATATATATAACTATGCTTAACGAGCTAATTCACAATTATATCTCTGTTTAAAATATATTCAAATATATATTTATCTTTATATAATTTGTTTGTATTTTGAAAGCTTTCAATTTGAGTGCCATTTTGTATTGTTTTTCAATTTGTTTTGCTAATTGATTTGATCGTCTTGTTGCCCTATCGATAAGCGATAACGATAACGATAACAACCGAGGCCTAAAACTAGAAGCATGGCATTAAGAGCCGCAGTGAACGCGCTTGGAACGAAATGGAAATGAAAAGGAAACGGAACATGAAATCGTTGAAAATAATTTGTTTTTATATGTTTTTATTGATTATTTGTTGTGTTTTGTGTTTTCTTGTTGTTTACGTTTATGTCTGTATAAATATTTACAAATAATAATTGAAATGAAACATAAATTAGTTATATACTACATATATGTCTATATATGTATGTATGTATGCATGTATATGTATAATTGAAAAATAATTTCTATATGTAATTTAGGTATTTCCTTTCAACTCTTTTTCTTATGTTTTCTTTTCGAATTGTAGTCGCTGTGTAAGGTTGTAATTAAATAATATTAAAAAAAAAAGTTTATGCTTAAAAAGAAAAGTAACTATTTCTAGTGGTAAGTTAAAGTGTATGTATGCATGTGTGTGTGTGTGTGTCTGTGTGTGTGTGTAAATGAAGAAACCAAATGACAGACAGTTTAGACAGATTGCACAAACTAAAGCCCCGAAAGAGCATCCATGCGTAGCTCTAATAATACAATAAAGCCCCAGGAACCCAAGTCCAGCGACAACAGCTGGGCTCTGAGCCTAGGGTATTGGGAGGATGTACAAAAATGTGTTAATGATGATTGAATGATACAGATTTTGGCAGCATTTAGTTTGTGCACCAGCTTCTTTCCACACCAAATCTCTCTCTCTGTCTCTTTTCCCCTGTCCTTAAACAACTCGCATCTGTCTATGAATATGTATATATATATATATAGATATATATATATATATATATTACTATATATTGTATGCCTGTATGCTAGCCACTAGCAATTTGGTATCTATAATACACGAATGCCCAGTTTGTTTTCCTTACTCTTGCTTGATGTGCATTAAAATCGAATAAAAAAATATATATATATATGCATGTATGCGGAGGAGATATATGTATGTAAATATATATATATATATATTTATGTATATAGTATTAATGTATGGTATATATCTGTTCTGTTCTATCGCGTAACGATGTTAACTTTAAAGGCTCACTTAAGTAAGAAAAAAAAAACATGATCAATTAGTTAAAACACATGCCCCCCAACTAATATAATACTAAACACTACCAAGTATATGTGCCTACCCTCTATATAGATATATCGATATATATATATAGACTATAAAACGCATAACTAAGTCTAATGCAGCAGCAAATCGTTTTGTTTCTTTACTTTTCTGTTTTGTTTGATTGCCTGCTTTCTCCTTGCTGCAGTTCCCCGACTCTCGCCTTCTCTTTCGCATCTATTTGTATAGTTTTCAACTCTAGCTGTATATATGTATATATATATATATATATATATATATATATTTATATATACATATATATATGTGTGTGTTTATGGTATACTCTTATGCGTAACCCTAGTACTCTCTATATTTAAGTTTTTGCATGTTGTTTTGTTTTATTTTTCATTTTCGTGTTCCCTTTTTCTTCTGCGCATCTTCGCTTATCTTGTGGTTGTTCTTATGGAATATATATATATATGTATATATATATATATGTTTTATTCTAAAACCTAATCAAAAAACACCCTGACTCTGATCTCTGATCCATCCAATCTACCTCCCTTCATCTGTCTCTCTCTCTCTCACACTCTCACTCTCTCTCCGTCTCTGTCTCTGTCTCTATCTCGCTCTTTCTCGCTTATATTATTATATATCTTTTAAAATGCATTTGCTTTTGCTTGTTATTCTCCTGCTCCTGCTTCTTCTTCTGCTCCTGTTCCGCCTCGTTGTGGTTTCGCTTATGCTTATTAGTTTCTGGTTGATTCGCTTTTCTCTCACTGGCAGGATTGAGTTCTAACTGTAGTTGCTTCAGGCATCGGGCCAATCATCAATCTTTGTGCCCGCCAGCATCATTGGCTGCTGTTCCTCCTAATCCTCCGCCGCCGCCGCCGCCGCCCATGTGCTGTGGTATCACCGTGAGACTTTTGGGTATCTTGGACATGATAACATTGTCGATGAGCTTCTGTTGCTGCTGTTGCTGCTGCTGTTGCTTCAACGTAAATGTGATGCCACCCAATCCTCCTCCTCCTCCGCCGCCCGCAGAGCTCGTTGCCGTCGCCGGCTTGGCCGTCAGATGCGGGAATTTATTGGCTGCTGCCGCTGCGGCGGCGGCGGCAGCACCATTCAATATATACTGATTGGCATCGGGAAAGTTCTTCCACAGCCAGGAGCTATTGCTATCCAGGCTGACGCTGCTGTTGTTTGCCGCCGCCGCCGCAGCCGTTGCGGCTGCCGCTGCCAGCGCATTGCTGAGCATCGGCTGAAAGCTGGCTGGCGATGACTGCGTCTGTGACTGTGATTGTGACTGGGCACCACCAGCTGTTCCACTGGCATTCTGTGGATTGCTCAGCGGCGGCATGGGCTTCGGTGCGAGCCGTGCCAGTCGCAATGCGCTGCCGGCGGCAACTCCGCCCGGCTGCAGCGTTGGCAGCTGCTGATGTTTGTGTTGCTGTTGTTTGTGTTGTTGTTGTTGTTGCTGCTGTTGTTGATGTTGTTGATGTTGTTGATGATGTTGTTGATGTTGCAGCTGTTGTTGATGTTGCTGTTGGAGCTGCTGCAGCTGCTGGCGTGCAGTTTGCTTGGGTGCATCTATTTTGGCCATGTCGCGCAAGAGCTTCTCACGCCGCAAGATGCACATGCGATTGTAGTCAATGATTGAGATGAGGTATGGCTTGCCACCGGACTGGACCTGCACCTGAGCGGGCAGACGTCGCCCGTCGGCTGTTTGGAACAGCGTTGGCGACTTACTCGGCACCTTGTGCTGCTCCTTGAGCGGTATCAGCGTCGGCTTCCAGCTCTTGCTCTCGTGCCGCTCCTGCGGCGTCAGCTTATCCGGTAGCATAATCACACTGGGCGCACCAGATCCCGAACCTGGGCCTAAGCCCCCGCCCGCACCTGAGCCTGATCCTGAGCCCCCGCCGGCTGCGCGCGGCAGCTGCAGCCGTTTGCCCGCCAGCGTCGGCAGCGTGGCGGCACTTGCCGAATTGGCGGCACTCGTGCGGCGACGCTGCAGACTAATCAGCTCCGGCGGCGAACTGAGCAGCTGCGCCACATTGGGCGGCGGTTTTGGTGTCGGCTGCTGTTGTAGAATTGTGGTCGCGGCGTTGGCCAACATCGGCTTGGACTTCGGCTGCTGCTGCTGCTGCTGCGGCAGCTCGTTGTGGCAATGGCTGCTCACCAGCTTGTTGGCCATGTCCAGTAGCTTGTGCGGTTTCTCGTTGGATGCAGACGCCGATTTGTGATTGGAATGCGACTGCGACTGCTGCTGCTGCTGTTGCTGCTGTTGCTGTTGTTGCTGTTGTTGTTGTTGGTGCTGACTGGTTGCGAGCGGCACAATTTCCACCGCCTTGTTTATGCCGAGCAGATTGGTCTTGAGTATGCTGCGGCTATTGGACACATTGGTGGGCACCAGCGGAGGCGCATCCTTGGCTTGCAGAGCCGCTTTCACCGGCGACGATTCCTCACCGACAGCTGCTGCTGCTGCTGGCGTCGCTGTAGCCGTTGTTCCAGTCGCTCCAACTGCGGCTTTGGCGCTGTCTTTGGGTCGCGCTATTATGGTTACCGCATTGGAGCTGAGCTGCTTGGTCAGCTTGTCTACGGAGACAGTGCGCAGTCGGTCCAGAGGCAACAGTCCGCACTCTGGCGCATAGTCGGCCGCATCCTCCTTGTCCGCATCCTCGTCATCGTCATCATCATCGTTCAGCTCCACCAACGGAATAATGGGCTCTGGCTGCCCAGACGGCTGTTCCATGCCGCTGTTATTGCTGCCTTGGGGCGTGGTCAGAGCATTGGCGAGCACACTGCTGCTGCCGCTGTTGCTGTTGTTGTTGTTGTTGTTGTTGCTGTTGTTGCTGGTGCTGGCATTAGGCGAACAGGATAGACTGGCATTGGCTGGCGGGTTGGCAGCATTCGGTGAGGAGGAGGAGTAGGAGGAGCAGGAGGAGGAAGCGACAACGGCGGCGGCATTTGTCTTGGCATTACTTTGGAAGCCACCGCAATGACCATGATCATAGGAATTGAGACGCTGTCGCACGGTCTGCGTATAAACGCTGGCATTGGAGGAGGCGTGCGCGGCAAGCACGAGGTCGCCATTGCGATAATACTTCTCCAGCAGTATGAGATGACGCAAAAAGGAGCTCTGATTGCCGTACGGCTTTTGCAGCTCCTCCCAGAGGCGGCGCGTCGGCTCGTCGTACTGCAGGAACGTTTGGACGCGCGTCCAGCCCTCCGGCGTGCGCTGGCTGCTGCTGCTGCCGAAGGGCACCTTAAACTGCACGCCCAGATCCTCCTCGCCGTGGAAAAGTTCACGCATCGAGATGTTCGGATTGCCGCGCAGCACATTCGAGATGTCGGCACCGGCCTTGCCCTTAGCATTGGCATTGGTATTGGCAATTGCATTGACATTCGCATTGGAATTGGAATTAGAGTTGCCTGGGGCTGTGGCTGTAGCTGTCGCATCACCAGCCAAATTCTGCTGAAGTATGGCCTGCAGCTTAGACATTTGTTTGCTGGCGCTCACCGCATGCCCGATGGGCGTTGTTGAGGAGCTGCTCGAATTGGAATCCGTGGGCCCATCATAGTCCACCACCATGGGCATTTCGCTGGAGGCATCATCACAGGCGCTGGCAGCTGGAGCCGTGCCGGCGCCCGTTGAGGCACTGCAGCCGGCGTTGGCATCCTCCTCATCCACCTCAGAGGCCTCGTTGCTGGCATCCTGCAGATTGTGCACCTTAAGGAGCCTGTAAAATCGAGAAACCCGATTAATAATCGGAGAACAGCAAGTCACATTCTGCAGCCAATCGCTCGCTCACCTCTTGCGATAGTTCTTTACAAACTCGGCCTTCTGTGACTTGGTGCTGTCCGGCGGTTTCATCAGCAGATTGGCAAAATAGCGACACAGCTTGCAGACGGCGGTGCCAACGCCCAGCTGCACGGGTATGCCCATTTCGGAAAGCGCCTTCTCCAAGCGATCCGTGTCCTGCTGAGAAATGGAATGCCATGAAGTTCAAAATTGACAGAGAAAGAGAAAGATGGAGGAATAGAGAGGGAGAGAGAGAGAGAGAGAGTAAGAGAGGGGTGGATGCTTACCGAGGTAATGTGGTACATGTGATTCTTGCCCAGACGACGCTTGCAGAGCACACAGCCGGACGACTGGATGACCGTATTGTAGTGGGGCTCACAGAGCCAGACGCTCGAGGTACCCGCCGGAATCTCGAAGTTGAGCAGGCACTTCTTGACGCTCTTGCGGACGCACTTGCGCCGCAGCGAATGGCTGGCCGCATCCGCGCAATCTTTGACAGCGCAAACACGCTGCGCCGCCGATCCGGAGACGGCGCCTGACGAGGTCGTTGCAAACTCCGCATCGCCAGCATCTCCCGTGAAATGTTTGTCCATGCTGTTGCCATTGCCGCCACCCACGCCACCGGCGGTGTTGCTCCCATTGTTGTTGTTGTTGCCCGTCTCGAGGTGGCCGGGCGCCGAGAGACGCTTCTTGTAGGAAGGCGCATTGGCGCGACGATCCACATGGCGAAAGCAGGCGTCGCACAGGCAATTGTCCACCGTCAGCTTCTCCTCGTCTGCGGCACAAAACGTATCAGTATAAAAAAAAATACAATTCTAGTTAAAGGCTCGTGCAACTTACTTGCAAGTATCTTCTGCTGGCGCTCCACGGACTTGATCTGGCCGACGTGACAGGGCGTATCGTATAGTCCAAATTTGCCGCTGCAATAGTAGCACTGATCCTCGCACAGGCGACCCGGATGAAATTTGAACGAGGATGCCTTCTCCGGTATCAGAATCTTCTCTTTCTCATCCTTCTTCACCATCTGATAGAAGCCGTGCTCCACTTGACCGCCATGACCCTCCGAATGCGACGAATCTGTGTGTATGCGTGCGCGTATATAAATATATATATATTTAGATGTGTATACATTAAATATGTGGGCGTGGCAGACATTTAACATAGCAAAATGCCAACATAAGATACCCTTTAAAAAAAAAAATTTTAATAAAACTTATTTAGAAGGATTTTTGGAATACCCAATTCCAATGATGACGACAGACAGACGATGGCTAGGCTCAAGAGATTCGTGATCATGCAAGGATGTCTCCTTGCAACCGGATTCTGGTTCAAATCTTGTTCTTTATAATATCTTCACTTTAATTTAACAATTGAACTTTTCATCAATAAAAAAAAAACAACAATTGAGTCCAGTTATATATACTTCGGGGCTGAGTCTCCCTAAAGAGTAATTTATGTTGAGCCAAACTACTTTAGAATCAAATTATGATTCGGTTTAGGTTTCAGTTCGGCTAACTGATTTGGTTTAAAGTTCAGTTCGGTTAAACAATAAATGAATGAGCCAGAAAGTCTGTTTGCAGGCAATGTGATCAGAGACAACTGCTGCTTCTGCGCTGGACTCAGTTGAGATTGGTTTGGCCAGGTCGAAGACTTGTAACTGATAAGTAAGCCAGATGAGCCAGCCCCCCTCCAGAGCCAAATCAAAAGCAAACAAAACGAAGCAAACACAAAAACAAGTTCAACACCAAAACACTCGGCACCAACCCAGGCAACTTCTGGAGGACGCGTTGTTGTTGTTGTGCTGTTTCTGTTGTTGTTGCTGCTGATTGCTGCTGCTGTTGTTGTTGTTGTGGTTGTTAGTGTGGCTAAAACGATTAGTTGTCTTGCGGCCCAGGTTACCCGAATTCAAATTGTTTCGATTGATCGCACCTTCGTTCTGCAAATGGAATTAGAAGTAATAGAAGGAGACGCACGAATTAGCATTTATTGTTGCGATTGTCTCTGTTGCGTCTGCTTACCTCGTTCTGTATGGTGTAGTAGGAGTCCTCGGCATGGGCGCCATGCTGATCGGCAGCACGGTCGGCAGTGCCGTGTCCGCGTGCGCGTCCCTTTTGGAATGTCATCTTGAGCGACTGGCGACGCACACCGTGCGCCGAGCTGGCCGCTGCGCCAGCGATGCCGCCTTTGCGTGTCGCGCTGCCCATGCTGCTGGCAGCAGCAGCAGCTGCCGTTGTGCTGATGCCAGCGACAGGGCCGCCATGGATAACTGTGCCGGTGGGCACGCCCGTGGCGCCGCCGGCGCCGCCATTGCTGCTGCGATTCAGCTTGATGACCGTCTTTAGGGTGCCGCTGGACTCGATGTGCGCGGCGCTGCCACCTTTCCCCGCTGACCGCTTGCCGGTCTGCTGCTGCTGCTGTTGTTGTTGATGCTGATGCTGCTGCTGCTGTTGCTGTTGGTGGACGGCGCGCGTGTGCGTGTGTATGTACTCCTGACGCAGCTGCTCGGCGGCCTGGTGGGTCAGCAGGCCGAGATGCTGCAGATGGCGCTCCTTTTCGCGGCGCAGCTCATCGTCGCCATCCGTCAGCTTTTTGAGTTTGCCATTGGCCTCAGTTTTGGGCAGTTGCTTCTGCTCGGCTGCGACGGCGGCCAGCGGCTTCTCCTCCTCCAGGTCGGCCAGATCCTGTTCGAGCTTTGCGGCGGTGCCATCTTCTGTCTTAAGCGCCAGTTCCAGTGCCATGACGGCATCTGGACTGACCGCAGATGCAACAGCAACGGCAATGGCATCTGTTGTGGCCGTGGACACATTCTCCTTGTTCTCCTCGGGATATTCGGCGCAGTCTTCGGTTAGGATTTGCATGTCGGTGTCATCATCTGCCACAGCATTCGCTTCAGCTTCCTGCTCCTCGGTCAATGGCTCCACCTCCAAGGTGAGCACCATTTCAGCGGGCAGCTTCTTTTCGGTTTGCACATCCAGCTCCGCCGCCAACTGGGCCGTATCACATTCAATGGTTGCCAATGTCGACTGCTGCTGCTGCTGCTGCTGCTCGTGGTCCTGCTCCTGCTGGAGCTTGCTGGCGCTTAGCGCGTTACCGCTGGCATCCACGACGCCCTCCTTGGCCAGCTGCTCCATAATCTCGCTTTCGAAGTCATCATAGTCATCTGCCTTGGCTGGCAGCTCCTCGACCTCACCGTTAAGCTCGACCGGCGAGCTGACAGCATCAACTACTGCTGCTGCTGCCGCCGCTCCAGCTGCTGCTGTTGGCTTTTGTGCCTCCTGCTCCGTCTCATCGCCGCTTTCGTCCACGCGCAGCTCACCCATGCTCCCAGCATAGGAGTCGTTCAGTTTACCCTCCGGCTCCGTCTCTGCCTCCGTTTCGAGCTCAATTACAAGCCCGTCTCCCGGAGGAGGCTCCTCTTCATCGGGAGGTGCTGCTATCGCCGCAGTTGCTGTTTGCGTCTCGCTGGCAATTTGCACAATCTCGCCCAGCTCCGGGTCCTTCTCGATGCCCAGATTGTTGGCCAGAAACTCGGGCTTCTTGTAGAACTGCTTAACACTAATGGCGCTGACACCTTCACTGATCATCTCGGGGCTCAGCGAGGGCGCCTTGCCAGCCTCATTCGATTCAGTTTCGGCTTCGGCTTCACCCTCGCCCTCGGCCGGGACGCCAACGATCTGCTGCTGCAGTGCATCCTCAGTGCTTTTCACCGTTTCTGTATCCACGGTCAACGGCTCAGTGCCATTGGCAGCCGCTGCAATCGAGGTGGAGGCCTGCGCCTGCTCGGCGAGCTCAGAGTCCGGCTCTGCGATCTTGGCAACCGCATCGAGACTCTCGTCGAAATCGAGCGCCAATTTCTCCTGCTTGATCTCCGTGGCGGCCAGCAGCAAATCGTCCATGGAGGTGGAGGTCAGACTGTCCTTGGAGTCCTCATCGCCAGCAGCGCCGCCAGCAGAACTGGCGGCCAGCGAACTGGAGCTGGCAGATGCCGCCTTGGCGGCCAGCAGGCTGCGATTTGCCGAGCCCACGCGGCGCCGCTTTGGCGGCGTTGGCTCCGCAGGCGTTGTCGTTGTTGTCGCGGCCAACAAGCCCGGCGAGCCCGCCTTGCTGTGCCGTGTTGCGCGCGTGCTGGCAGCGCTGGCTGTGGCGGTGGGTGTTCCCTTAGTTTGCGGCCTGCCGCGTCCGCGTCGATTGGCTGATTGCGGCGTGGGCGTGGCAGCAGGTGATTGCGGCTCCTCGCTGTCCGGCGGCTCCAGTTTAATGCTCAACGCGCTGGATTTGGCCTCATCCGCGGCACTCGTGGTCTCGGACTCATCCTCATCATCCTTGACCTCAACCTTGGCGTACTTGAGGCCCAGTTCGGCGTCATCGTCGGAGCGCTTACGCTTGAGCAGCTGCTCCTTGGTTGGCTCTGGCGGCGCTGGCTTTTTTCGACGGCCGCGCGCAGGCAGCTGTGGCTCGTTGTTTACCGTCGATGACTGGCGGCGATTGCGGGTGACGCGCGTGTTGTTGTTGTTGTTGGCCAGCGCCAGCTCCTGGGCGTGCGCTTTGCGTGTGACGCGATTGCACGTGGTTGGAGTTGATGCTGTTGCTGTTGTTGTTGTTGTTGTTGTCGCTGCTGTTGCCGGCGTTGTGGGCGTGGGTGTTGTTTCCTTCTCCCTCTCCTTATCTTTGGAGTCCTTTGGGGTATCCTTGGCGTCCTTCTCCTTTTCGCTTAGCTTTGTATTGGCATTGTCTTTTGTGTCTTTCGTTTCCTTCGGCTCTTTTGCTGCCTGATCCTGCTCCTGCCCCTGCTCATCAAGTTCCATGGCATCGCTGGACTCCTCCTTGACCAGCAGCTCATCCGCTGGCTTTGCGGCTACTTCTTTGGCTTCTTTTAGCTCCTTGATGGACTTGCGGCCGCGTATTATCGGCAGATTGCCGCTTTGCCGCTCCGCTGAGCCCTTTCTTTGGCTGCTGCCACTGGGCAGCTCCTCGTTATCGCTGCTAGCTGCCGTTCCCGCTGCCGCTGCCACCGTCGCCGCCGGCTCAAGTGTCTCTCGCGCATCTCGCTTGCTCGTCGGCGAAGAGCTGTGCAGCAGCAAAGGCGACGAGTGACGTGTCACGCGCACATTTTTGGCGGCCAGTGCCTCGGAGCATGACTTGCGCGGCGTGCCGCATTCTGCGATCAGTGGCGAGGGATCACTATGCCGTTCTATCAGGTCAGTGTCCTGGTCTTTATTCTTATCCGTTTCCTGTTCGGCTTCATCAGCTGGAGCAGCTGCCTCAGCTGCATCTCCAGCTGACGCTGATGCTGCTGTGGCTGCTGTTGATGCATCCCCAGCTGCTGCTCCATCCTCGCCTGGGGCCGCTTCCAGCTCAAGTGTGGGCGATGCATTATTATTATCAGGCTTTGCTCCTGCTCCGGCTCCTACTCCCGCTCCCGCTCCCACTGCTGGCTTGCGCGCCGACATCCTCGATCCGTCACTGGGCTGTGCTGGTGACGCTGCTGTCGACGAGGTCGACGCTCCTATTTTGAGGCTTGCGCTTTGTCGGTCGCCAGCTGCTCCACCAGCTCCAGCTGCAGCTTTTGCTGCTCGCGTTCAGCCTGAATCTCGCAAATCTCTAGCTGCACTTTTACACACTTTAAGTCGTTATGATTTGGTCCCATTTGTTGACTACCTGTCAATTAAATATATTTGAATAAAGAAATACATTAGCACTTGTGCACTTCAAGATAAATAGTTCTTATATGATATCAAAGCGGAGCAGAGGCCATTTTCCCGCTTCCTTTAGAAAGGACGAAAAGAAAATCTTTCAAGCGGATGTATTTTCCACGCAAAAGAACTGAAAGAGGAAATACCCATAAAATTTTGTTGTTTAATAGATATAATATACCTTTTTTTGAAACAAGTAACCTAAATAAATATTTTACCGACTTACTGATTCATATTTTCGCGTATATAATTAACAAATCTAGATTAATAATAACTCAATTATTTTATATTCAAGTAGACATTTAAAAATTAAAATTTTTTTTTGTGCTTGATTTACGAGGGATATCACCACTAATAAGACAGATAGTAAAAATCTTAAGATTTTAACCTTTTTCAAGGACTCCAAATATAAATCTTAAAATATATATATATATATACATGTGGCTAAGAAACGTTAATATCGTCACAAGACATAACGTTCACTTATTTGGTTAAGGCCATAGTTTAATTAAGGCTTTCCCTTGGTGCAGATTTTAATAAACAAATATTACGCATACGCCATGTGGCGGTTAATTCGCTGACAGAAGACACAACACGGACAAAAGGCGAGCCAACAGGCAGCAGGAGCAGGAAAGGGAAGCGTAGAAAGCGGTGTTAGAAGAACTGCAAAATACACACACGTCCCATTGTGACTGTCAATTACACCCCGTTAACGCTTGCTGTCCCCCCCCTCTCCTCCTCCTCCCCTACTCCCTCGCATGCGAGGCAGCCAAAAGGCAAAACGAGTTTGAAAGCAGCAGCAGCAACAACAACAACAACAACAACAAGAGCAGCAGCTGCTGGGGCTGTCTAAAGAAACTAACATTACGAGCTGCCGAGAGAGCTGCGTGCATAGCGCCATTCAAATTGTGAGCGCAGCAAATTCATAGGCAGCAGGCGAATTTGGAGCGTCGCTGCTGGCGTCAACTGCGGGCGAGAGCACATTGCGAATTACAGAAAACAAACAGAAAAAAAAAATAAGGAACGATTGCTATTTGTCATTTCGGCTACTGATCCTGTCACTTTATTGTACGCAGCAAGCACAGTGACGACGCGCGTGCGAGATGACAGGCGCCATTTTTGTGCGCTGCCTGTCGATGAAGAGAGCAAAAACCCAAGCCCAAGAGAGCGAATGAATTGGTTTCTTAAATTGTTGTTGGCAAAATGCAAGCAGTTGGGCGCAATAATTTCCATTTGCAGCGAAAATTGAGCACACAAAACACGACCTTCGCCTGGTCTGTGCAATTCTTGGGCTGCAATTGTATAAGCAGAGCAGCACAGGAGAAAATGGGCCTTCATTTCCCACTTCCACTTACACAAGTATAGAGCACAAAACGGATTTAACGACACTGGCACATACACGTACACACTGGGTACGCGCTCACAATCGCACACACACTAGCGCAAGCAGTACGCTTCTCATCGTAAAATGACAAGCCGATGCCGCCACCACCCTCTGCAACGAAGGCGGTGGAAGTAGAAACACAAATGACAGCGACAACAAACAGCGAATAAAGGAAACAAAAGAAAATCGCAAATAACAAAATCAAAATGAAGTATACATATTAATGCACAAAACAAAAAACAAAAAAAAATGGTATCGACACGCACACATTTAGAATTGCATTATAGGCTTTACATTAAGCATGCCAAAAAAGAAAAAATTAAAATTAATAGAATTGAACCGAAATGCAGTTGTAAACACACTTACAAGCACACGCGCACGTAGCAGCCGCAGTCCCGGGGCTTTGGCATATTCTAGCTTGCTTTCTTCTCATTCAGTTTTATTTACGCTAACCAAATTTACGACACTTACTTTATATTACTTTCGGATAAAATAACAACCATTAAGTATTGCTTAAAATATTGCTCCGTTTGATCAAATCTGGCTTCTGCTTGTGTGCTGCACAGCGTTGCCGCACGCAGGGATGTAGGGGTAAAAAATATCGATAGCAACAATAGTATCGTGCACAACACATCGATACACAAAATTTGGCCGTATCGATGTTTTATGGCTGCGGCAATTGCTGCAATTTGCAAATATTAAATCGAATTCGAATGGATCGCTAAGAGGCAACTGAAACAAGTTAGCAAAACCAAACTGCAAACGTAGTATTGTATATATTCATTGGATAACATTAGAATTTGTTTGATTCGTTTTTATGAGCGTCGCACGTGCCGCGTTTGCCGATTGGGCGAAACTGGATCACCACTGGATAAGGTGTGTGGGTGCCGGGAGGGGTAAATGCCGCCTAATTTAAAAAAATAATTGCACGCAGATCGTAGGAAACTAGCAGAAATTAAAAATTATTATATATGTTATAATATTAAGTTGATTTTAATTTATGCTCATATAATTTGCAAACAAACGAAAATGTAAACAAATAAATTGTAGAAATTGACAACTGTGTTGAACAATTTGTTTGTTTTTGTTTTTACACAGCACATTTCAATATAAGGACTTGCCAAATTCGACAATAACATTTGGTCACACTGAAGGCGCCTTAATTAGCACTTTGAATGTGAATAAATCAAAATAAATGAATGTGTAACTTAAGTATACAAAAGGTTTAGTTTCGCTTAGATTGAATTTAAGATTTAAATGAAAAACCCATAATAATACAATTCCAGAGCAAGCACAAGTCTGGACGCTGCGGCCAGATAGGTGGGCTAAACACGCCAGCAGGTGGCCGGGTTAAGATATGTAATGAAACGACAGCAACGGAGATTCACCTGCCGCATGTGGCACAAATGAAACGAGGATAAACATTTCAGAGGTTGCACCATTTGATTATTTGCAATTTGTTTTGGATAAATTAATTGGCAAATTTAATTGAATTTTAAGCTTTGTTTTGTTTTCGTTGCATTTTTGGTCAATTTGTTTGGGTTTGCAGCAATTTAAAATATTTTGATTTTCATTTTAATTATGCATGGGAGCATTTTTGTTTGCGAATGATTTGCCATATACGCATACTTGCAAAGATATGCATGTATGTGTGCATGTACATAAACAGCTCTCGCACGTACACACTCGCAGCACATGCACACACTCACACAAACACATAGTGGCACACAACAGGGCACATAGCCACAACGACGATACTTACTTAATTCTCTTTTTTTTCAGAGTCGCCTTCGCATCATTTGCGAATTTTCCGCATTTATTGTTATTCAATTGTACCGAAATCAATTCGAATTCGTATTAGAATTCAAAGTCGATGGAAACGCGGTCAGTTTTATATACAAAATGTACGAAAAAACTGCACAATCCAAAGCAGAGAAAAACAAAAAAAAAATAATAATAATAAAATAAAATGCAGAACCCGAACCGACAGAGTTGTGAACGCAAACACGGTACGAAGTGAAATAACAAGGCAAAATGGCAGCGCACAACATGCCAAAGAGAGCGAGAGCGGACAAGAGAACAAGAGAGCGTCACAGCGGCGAATACATATTTCGCCGCCGACTCTGACTCGACCACATGTAAGTGCTATCTCCGAGATACATTTATACCCTACGCACTAGCCCAGACTTAGAAAGCGCCGCGGCAAAATCGCGATCCATAAAAAGGACACAAACAGTATATTTTTTAAACACCCAGTAACTTACAATCTTTAAATATCGCCGGACAGTCGCCACTAGCTGCTGAATAATGTTGTCATAAAAGCAGCACTTACGCTTGCATGAACACAGTCAGCTAGCTAACTTAAATGTATGGCAACTCACTCACGCAGATAATGTGGATCAGTGGGCGGTTGGCGTAGGGTATGCACAAGTCGACCAATGCGCTCCGGCTAGTTGTCTACGCTTACTTGTTTTGTGCTCTGCCGCGTTGCTGGTTTTGGCCTGGCGCACGACAACGACTGCAAGGACTAGAGCTAAGAGCAAATGCTTCGTTTTCGGCTGGGGGTAGCAATAAAACTAAAACTAAAGACTTTCAAGCAGCTTATGGCACACAATATTATGTACTTTGATTCGCCTGATGTGGCTGCTGAGTTTTCGCTGTGCTTTTTCGTATGCAAATTCATTTATTCATATCGCTTTTGTCGCTGATTTTCTTCAACAGTTGCTGCTGCCGCCGCAGCCGCCTCTGCCGCTGCTGCTGCTGCTGCTGCTGTCACTCTTCTTCTCTCTCCTGTCGCTTTTGTTTTTTAATCGGAAATGAAAGAGGAAATGGATTTCAACTCAAATATGGCGAAAATGCCAAAGTCCCGAACGGGTGCATCTAACATTCGCACAACAATTTACGCACTTCAAAACCCAATTACGGTCTGTTTTTTATGTTCCCCGTTATTCTTTTAGCTTTTAGGCATTGGTATTGGTGTAAGCGAAAGCGCGACGGCGACGTGCTCTTTTGTTTTTATTTATCATATACATGTATGTATATTTTTGTTTGCTATTGTGACCCGCTCAAGCTGGCGACGCTGAGTGAAGTGGCGAATCCTGCAAGTGGCAGGCGCAGTCCTGTTTTCATTTTCATGCCAACACATACAGACACAAGGCTGCGTGTGTATGTGGGTTAAAGGCCAATTTAATTGCCCAGCAAATGCCTCATTGTGCCAGTTGGACGAGAACAAAGGGCAGAGGGAAAATCAATAGACTATTATATCTGGGCGCCTCGTTAGCAATGATGGTGTGTTAACGTCTTTACTTGACATACATACATATATAGATATGTATGTGTGTCTGTCCTATATCATGCATATGTACATGCATAATGCCATGCCTTGGACTTTCAACTGGGTCAAGGTCAAAGGGACGATTCAATTTAGGACATTGCGTTGTTCTACATTCAATGCTAGCCTACTTTATTGATACAACTGTTGCGTCTGTTGCCTTTCATTAAATATTTGAATTAGTCAAAGGCAACTATTGTGCAGCAAGGATCAAGATTTATTTAGTTTTTGCCCCAATTTTTATTTTGCTCACAAACATTTTACATGAATATTATGAAAACATAACCTAGCGCTCCTTGCAAAAAATGAAAAAATATGATTATGTAAATTACGATCTGAAAACAATGGCAGCCAACATATCGATAATTTCTGCTGCAATTATACGTAATGTATGCACAGGCACACACACACGCACACACACAAAGCAACCACATGACACACACACACAGGCCGTATGTACATATGGGTGGAAAAAGTCGCCTCCTAATTGCTTTCTGCAGGCTTTCATAGAACGCCCACTCGACCAAATTCACCTTTGCATGTTTCTGCATAAATACATTTCCACATAGACAAGTACATATGTATGTAAGTACATACATACATGTACATAAGTTCGTACAATAATATGCCAAGTAGAAACTTTGTGCGCTCTGGCAGCCACATTAACGTACATACATACATACGTATACGTACAGAGACATTGCGTGTGCTTGTATGCGTGCACACATACATATGTACATATGTATGTAAGCGCTGAAGGCAATACAAATTGGAAAACGCAATGGCCGACAAACGCCACGCAGCTATCAGCCATGAATCTCAAGGTAAAGCAGAAGCGACAATATACGAATATCAATGTGCAGGCATAATGCACAACAATAAACGGATGAAAAATAAAAAGAAAACTTCCGGCAAAGCTCAAGCTGAACGCGAAATGGTGAAAAACGCACACACACACATATACAATATTCGCCCAGACTAAGAGAAACCAAACCCATATTCATGCATACATTTGGAAACCCACGTGAATCAGAGAGCGAGAATCATCAAGAACAGAGGAGAGATGGCGAGAGAGAGAGAGAGAGGAAGAGAGAGTGAGCAATGTGATCGCGATTGTGAGATGTTTGCGGCGAATTCGGAGAGTTTTCATAAGTATTGTTGCTGGTTAATTTTCTTTAGTTTCGCCATGAGAAAAGCCAAATGTCTTTGTATTTTGTATATACACAAACACAAATATACATTTTACATTCATATAAGCATTTACACATGTGTATGTACATAAGCATGTGTACGAACTGCTTTCGGCTGACTTGCTGTTTATTGCTCCGTTTCTCTCTTCGTCTGTTTGTCCGACATGGCAGCGTCATTTATACGCCATATTGGATTGTCTCATATCGCCATTGGCATTTTTCTTTTACTTTTTTAGGATCTTTAGCGCTAGGTTTGCATGCATTGCCAGCTGCCATTCAATAGTTTAGTATGCGAACTTTATGTTTTAAGGCAGAAATTGGCCATTAAAGGCAATTCTGTGTGCATAAATTGGCATGAAAAATGTTGGCCATTTAACAACATTAGTTTGCACAGCTGAGCGTTGCCAGAAGGGTGAATGGCAGCACTGGCAACACCATCAGCTGTTGCCCAACACACACAACTGGCAGCTCTGTGCAGGAACAGGGCTGGCTCAACGCCGGCAAACAAAATATATTAGAAAACAATAAATTAAATTAAATATGTTACCCAAAGGGCTTTTGTTGTTGCTTATTATTATTTACAGCTGCGCCGCTGAGCATGTAAGTACGGTAAAGAGAGAGCAAGAAATTGAGTGTGAACCCTCAGTTAATAATTGCCCTTTAGGAGACTTCAATGCTGCCGGAGGCTTATGTGGACGCCGCCCAGCGCTCAACGCACACGAACAACTGGGCGGTGCTGGTGGATGCGTCCCGCTTCTGGTTCAACTATCGTCATGTTGCTAATGTGCTGTCCATTTATCGGTCCGTCAAGCGTCTCGGCATACCCGACTCACAAATCATTTTAATGATCGCCGACGATATGGCCTGCAATGCGCGCAATCCTCGGCCGGGCCAGGTGTACAACAATGCGAACCAGCATATCAATGTGTATGGCGATGATGTTGAGGTCGATTATCGCGGCTATGAGGTAACCGTGGAGAACTTTGTGCGCCTGCTGACGGGACGAACACAAAATGGCACCGCACGCTCCAAGAAGCTGCTCTCCGATGCGGGCAGCAATGTGCTCATCTATTTGACGGGCCACGGTGGCGATGGATTTCTCAAATTCCAGGACTCCGAGGAGATAACCAGCCAGGAACTGGCCGATGGCATACAGCAAATGTGGGAAAAGAAACGGTTTGTCTATTGAATAATAAGCCGCACGTATGTGTCACTTAACTGCTCCTGTTGCTTATTTTTTTCAGTTACAACGAGCTCTTCTTCATGGTGGACACTTGCCAGGCGGCGTCGCTTTACGAGAAGTTTACATCGCCCAATGTCCTGGCCGTGGCAAGCAGCCTCGTTGGCGAGGATTCGCTATCGGTGCGTACTCTTAAATGATTTGCCTCCTGCTGTTTCATTTAACTCTCATTTTGCAGCATCACGTGGATCCCTCGATCGGCGTCTATATGATCGATCGTTATACCTACTATGCGCTCGAGTTTCTGGAGAAGGTGCAGCCGTTTAGCAAGCGCACAATTGGTGAATTTGTAAGCCTTTAGCCCAACGACAAGAAGGTGCTTGATAATTTACTCCATGCTCTTTGCAGCTGCAAGTGTGCCCGAAGCGCGTATGCATCTCGACAGTGGGCGTGCGCAAGGATTTATATAGACGCGATCCGCACAAGGTGCCCATTACGGATTTCTTTGGCGCCATACGTCCCACGCGCGTTTCCACGGATCGCATCAATGTAACGCTGGCCAATGAAGAGTATGTTCTGCCATATATATATATATATATATATATTTAAATATATAAATAATAATCCAATTGATCAATTCAAACACTTCACAGGGACTTTGTCAACGAGGTGGTCCAGTCGGAACCAAGGAAACAGTTCAAGATCATTTTGGAGCCGCAGTTTACAGCTGAATTAATAAAGTAACAACAGGTCCTAGCACTTTGTTCAGCTTGGGTAAGATCTGGATAGTTGGCAGCAAGCAACAAATTTAATGAGTTCAAAATGTACACATTTCATGTGATAATATTAACTTTATTCGTAAATACATTTCATTTCATTAATTTATATTATTATTATTAATACAATGTGTAATTTATTAAATTTATGTCTGTGTGTGTGTGTGTGTTTTTGCTTGTGTGTGTATGTGTGTGTGTGTGTAAACTCGATTCGTGCTTTAAAATACTCGAATTCTTGGGCTTAGTTCGTTTCATCGATTTTCTTTATTTTAAATATTTTGCTAACATTTCATTTGGTTTAATGCCCATGTTCATTGTAATTACGTCAATTTTAAATTATATTTATTGTGTTTGTTTTTTTTTTTTTGTTGTTTTTATATTTTCTTTTATACCGCAAACACTCACTAATCCATCAAGTAACATTTATATCAAATTCCAAAAATAAACAAAAACCATATGTATATATGCTAAGTGTGTATGTATGTGTGTGTGTGTCTCTGTGTGTGTGTGGGAGTGTGTGTTTATATACTTATATAAAACGTATGAGCCAGTCCTTCTATTCCCGGACGAACACTCGTACCGCAAGTGGAATCCATGCGAATTTCCACCACAAAAAAAAAAACATTTTATTTAACTTCTATTTTGTTTTTCTTTCTTCCTGGGGTATACACAAAAAAATTGTTTTTTTTTTTTTTTTTATTTTGGTTTTAAGAGTAACAATGGCATTTTTTTTCTAGCTCTGTTAGCTGCCCGAAGCGTTTCGGACAGCACAGGACGACATTTACTCCGTTTCCATTTATTTATTTTCAATGTATGGAAGGATCTACCTTTTTTTTTTTTGTTTTTTTCTTTTTTTCGTTTTTGCTTGCTTTCTTAAGTTGAAAAAATGCCAGATTATATCGACTATACATATATATATGTGTTTTGCATTAGCTTTTTATTGCATCAGTCCCATTTGTTTTGAGTTGTATCGCTATCGATTATGTTTTAGGGGGTGTTTGTTATGTTGTTGTTGTTGTTGTTGTTGTTGTTCTCAAGATCGAGTTAAGCACCATAAAAAGTATTTACTCCCCGTCCAGCTGGCATACACATAACGCTCGCTCTATTCCCGATTACTTTACTATAACATATATGCAAGCGGCCTTCGTTTTGTTTAAATATATATATTTTTGAATATTTTTCTTTTTTGAGCATATTTGAAACAGTTTGCGTTTCAATTGTTCTGTTCGAGTATTCTATATATCGTGTTTAGCGGGTGCTGCCTGTGGTCTGAGTGAGTACTACTTAGGATCGTCTACGTTTGTGTTTGTGTGTGTGTGTTTGTGTGTGTGTGTGTATGGGTTGTGTGGTTTAACTCTTTTAAATGTGTTATTAAAAATTAGCTAACTAATCGTTAGGATGCCAGGGTTTTCTATCTGTTAGCATTCTTTTTTGTGGGTGCACTCAGGGAACAGATCTAACAATATATCTAATGCGTGTGTTTCATGCTCCTTACTCGTCACTCGTTACTCGTTACTTTTTACTCGTTATTTACAAAGACATAAGAGCAAACCGAAGAATTATACTCGCTTGTCTACAAATGGTCTGGCCTAATTGGAGGAGGGGCTTTTTGTGTGTTGAGGAATTTCAGTTTTGGTTGTTGCTTGGTTGCCATCTCGCCTATGGTATATGGTATCTATATGCATATATACGTATGCCATAAATGGTATTATCTGTTTAAAGGGAGCCACTAAGCTACTATCTGAGTGGGGTACTCGGGTAATTCTAGCTCAAATGCATTGCAATGCAGTTACGATTTATGGCCTAACACTTATTTGATAACACGCAGTGCAAAAATATGGTATCATCATCATCATCATCATCATCGTAATCATATTTAACTTTCATCATTGTGTGTTCTACTTTTAATGTATTTGGGGTTTTCTTCATTTTCTGATGCTTTACAAAAGCTTACTCTTCTAACTTTTCTATCGTTTTTGCTGTATTCATTATTCATATTCGTATTCATATATATATATATATATATATATTTGTTTTATGCTCTTAATACATACAATACATATACATTTAAGTACTCCTTTATGTATTTGCTGCTGCGTACTATATATTTAATTTTATTTTTTTTTTGGTTTGTTTCTTATTTATGTTAAAATCCAAAACCAAAAAAAAAAAAAAATATAAGAAAAACTTTCTGCTACGGAAAATCTCATTGTGAAAACAACTCTTGAAGGCAATTTCATGTCAGACTCTTGCTTTAAACGTCATTTTTCATTTCTTATTTTTATTCGCATTTTCTTCACCTTTTATTTGGTGTCTCTGTGTGTGTGTGTGTGTGTATTTTTGTGTGTGTTTGTGTGTGTGCGAGCGAGAGAGCGCGTCTGCTTGGGTTTGTGTAAGGCGCTAGGAATTGAAAATTCTTTCTTAAGTGCGGCTCCTGGGTCAGGGCAAGGTCAGTTTTTTCTTGTATCTTTGCTATCTATTATACTATATTTATTTCTGTTATTTTTTACAGGGTATACGCTGCTCGATGAACGCTTGGAACAAAACAAAAAATAAGTATTTTGATAACAATAAATAAACTGTCCTTTTCAAATATTGCATACAATTCGAGTATCTCGTAAGCTTTCTGCACGAGAATTTTCCTTAAATGTTTATTTTATCTTTTGTCATTCAATAGCCATAAAAGGATTATTCCAATGTTTTTAGGGATTAGCCCAGTCAAACGATGCTTGTTTACACAGATCTCAGGATAATCAAAATTCGCATAGTCGGTTAGATATGAATTCCTCCAATTTCCATGCAAAAGCCTTTTTAGAGTTTTTTATACACTCGCCCCTTCATTCGGGCCCCTCCCAAAAGTATGCTACACTTAACGAACTGCGGACAAATCCTGAGACTCTGCAAGGACAAACTCAATGCTATATTTTTCCCCTACTCAAAACCAATTGCAGTTGCTCGAAAACAGAAGCTTGGAGTTCTTGGGCTTGGGGAGGGTGTGTGGGCTCAACAACAGAAAGAGATATAAATAAAAACTGAAAATTATTTAAGAATTACATTTATTAAAAATGTTGTTAAAAAAAATGTATACAGACAGCAAAAAAATCAACAAAATTAATACATTTACAATAAACGATAGTGCGACATCGATATCGATAACAAACGGCATCGATAGCAGCCCAATTTCAGGCGATTTTCTTTTTTTGTGGTTTTATTTGTTTTCTTAGTTGTTTGTTTCTTGCATTTTTCTTTTTCTTTTTGGGTTACGACGACGACGCGATCGCGAGCCATATAATATTTATATATATATAAAAAAAAATCATAGTATATATATGTATACATAAAGATATACATATACATATATATATATATATATATTTATAGTAAATTGTATGTACTAGGCGATAATTATGTTTAGTATGCATATGTATATATATATATATATATATATGGGTATATATACATACAATAATAATAATTAATAAAAAAAAAAAATTAATCATAAATGAATAATTAGAATTAGTTTTCATTTTTTCTTCTTCTTTAAGTGTACAATACATACATACAAACATACAAAAATAAAAAAAAAAAAAAATAATAATAATAATTATAATAATAATAAACAGTTGTATAACTTTGTATGCACACATTTTTGCTTGCTTTCTGTTTTAATATTAGAGTAGGATTAGCTTAGGCTTAGATGTATGGGCGTGTGTGTGTGTTGTGTGTGTGTGTGTGTATGTGTGCGCGAGTGTTTGCTTGATGTTGTACACATTTCTCCATTATCAGAGATGCTCGCCTTAGGCTGACACATAAAAATGTATGTGTATGTATGTGTGTGTGTGTGTTGATTAAACTAACATTACATAATATGCCATTTGAATAATTTAAAGTAGAAGTTTGCTCTCGATTTGTTGTATTATCGTTATATCGATAAACTTAGCGAAGCGCGCCAACCGCAACCACCCGCCCCTTCCCGCACAACCTATCAGCCCGTTACACGCAGCGCAGCCCGTGTGTGTGTGTGTGTGAGTGTGTGAATTTCTCTACAAAAAGTACTTAAAATCGAACGACAATAAAAACTAGCTAAATACGACTATAATTCCTATATATATATATATATATATATATATAATAGATGTATGCATGTATATATATATATATATGTATGTATATATATATATACTTTATGTGGTTGATTTTCTTTGCCTTGCGTTATATGTATATATCTATTCAGATCTGTGTGTGTATATATTATATATTAATATATATCTATATATAATTTTCTGTGTATATATATTTATATAAAAAAAAAAAAAACAATGCATTCTTATAGCTGTATATATATGAATGAGAGTGTGTAAGTGTGTGTGTGTAAGTGTGGGTGTGTGGGTGTGTGTGGCTATAGTCAACTACAACTTATTAGCTCATATCTGAACTGATCTTAAATCAACTTTATATGGATACATGTTAACACTTAACTTAGATTTTTCTGCTTTTTCTTTTTTTTTTTGTATTTTGCAATTTTTGCTCCTTAAAATTTTGCACAAAAAAAGTTGTTTATTTACGTGTGTGTGTGTGTGTGTGAGTGTTAAAATAATGTATGTATATAGTAATAGCATAATTTATTTAGTTTTAAAAGTCAACACACACATTCGTAATGCCGTTAAGCCACAGAATCCAGTTCTAAAACCGAACGAACGAGAAAAAAAAAACAAAAAAAAAAACATAATCAAGCCGGACCAAACCAAACTGTTCCATACCATTTCATTTCGTTTCGTTTCATTTCCATTCCATTTCGTTCCGTTGCAGTCTTGTGTTCGTCCTGGTCCGTCTGCGCTTGGGTTGGAAAACGGAAAACAGGCACAAGAAAACGTTTCATTCCATTCCGTTTCAGTCCGCTATATGCATTACAGTCTTGTGTTCAGTGTGTTGGCTCAGCGTGTTTGGGATCTTTCCATACCAGTTCGTTCCCTTTGTTTACGTTCCGTTTTGTTGACAGTCTTGTGTTCTGTGTGTAAGGATATTTATATTTTGTTTGCCTTTCATTTTCCATTCCGTTACGTTCCGTTCCGTTTCAGTTCGTTTCAGTTGTCAGTCCGCAGTCTTCTGAGTACGTTAGGCTTGGGTTAGGATATTTGGATTTGGATTGTTCGCTTGGTACGTGGTATACCTAATTTCTAGAACGGGCTTGTGCTTTTCATTTACTGCTTTTCGTCATCTCTTTTTTGTGTGCTTTTAGGTTAGGGTAGGTTTTGGCTTATAAGATCTCCAACAATTGGGGCAGGGCGAAAACTAAAATACATGAAAATACAATATGCTCTACATTATGTATGTAGTAATAATAATGATAATGATAATAATAATAATAATCGATAATTGGTAATCGGTAATTGGTAATTGGTAATCGGTAATCGGTAATCGATAATAAAAAACATGCTTTAAGTGTACTATTCTAAAATAATTCAGTCATCAGGTAACATTGTTTTGAACACAACTACAGTAACAGAAGCTGAGGTCACGGGCGTGCGCGTAGGCGGGCGCATGGGCGTGGCAGCGGCGGCATTATAATTATTATTGTTATAATTATGATTATTATTATTAATATTATTGTTGTTGTTGTTGTTGTTGTTGTTGTTGTGTGGTGCTGTGGATGATGTTGCATGTGGTGTTTGTTGTTGTTGTTGTTGTTGTGGTTGTTGTTGTTGCGATTGTGTTTGTGTTTGTGTCGTCGTCGTCGTCGTCGACACGGCAGTCCATTGTTGCATTGTTGCTGGGCGCATTGCTAATGACGTGGGCGTGCCAACAGACAGCAACAGCTCATCGGTTTGTGTGTGTATTGTGGCTGTGCTGGCAACAGTTGCCTGCTGATGGCAACAGCTGCCGTTGGGCAGCGATGTTGCTGCTGCAGTTGCTGTTGTTGCTGCTGCTGATAATTGGTATTTAAAATTAACTGCGTGCATTGCTCACAAATATTCTTGCTTACCATTTGCCGCTTGACTTAAACTGTTGCTGTCGTGACAGTTGCCGTTGCTGTTGCTGTTGCCGTTACGTTGTCGCAGCATCGGTTTGGCAGTGATTGTTATTGCGCCTGGGCCAGTGGCAGTGTTGCTGTTCAAATTAATAATTCTGCGAGGCACTTTAAGCTGATGTTGCTGCTGTTGTTGCTGCTGCTGCTGCTGTTGCTGCTGCAATGCGAGCAACTGTTGCTGCTGCTGCTGTTGTGCAGTGGCTATTTCACTTAGGCTGGCCAATGTTAACGCCGTTTTGAGCACATGCGCTGGCGGCGGTGTTGTTGCTGCGTTTGTTATTGTCGTTGTTGTTCTCGTTGTTGCGCCAGCACTCGTTGATGTTGCTTCTGCTGTTGCGGCGGCTGTTACTGTTGGTTTGTTAGCAACTGCTGCCATTGGACGTTGTGACATTAAGGCCGATTGAAGAATTGATGTATACTGTTGCTGTTGCTGTTGTTGTTGTTGTTGTTGCTGTTGTTGTTGCTGATGTTGTTGCTGATGTTGATGTTCAAGTCTTTTGCTCTCTTCTAAGCTGTTGCTGCTGCTGCTTGTTGCCAGCCTGCCAGCTACAGTGGCAGTATTGCAGCTGCTGCTGCTGCTGTTGCTGCTGCTGCTGCTGCTGTTGTTGTTGTTGTTGCTGCCCGCCTCGATGGCCACTGCTGCTGAGCTGCGCGCTATTTGATCGGCGGCTGCTGTCAGCGTGGCCAATGTGGCCGCAGCTCCACTCAGCAGCGACGACTTCAGTATGGACGAGGAGGCATTGCTGTTGGCGCTGGGCTTGGCGGTTGCTGTTGCTGTTGCTGTTGCTGTCAGCGGCAGTGGCAACGGCAGCAATAGAGACGATTGCTGTTGCTCGGCTTCGCCAATTTCGATTTTGATCTTGGGCAGATCCAGCAGCAAAGCAACCTGCGCCTGCGCCTGCAATTGTTGCTGTTGCTGCTGCTGTTGCTGTTGTTGTGGCCGGGATCTGCGGCGTGTTGCTGTTGTCAGATGTTGGTCGTGTTGCTGCTGGCGCTTCGGCAGCGCCGGCTGATGATTGCTGGCGGGCAGCAGGCCATGCTCAAGCATTTGCTACCTTATGCTCGCCGAGTTGAGCACAAAGGGCACATAAAACATCTTGCTTTCTAGCAACAGACTGGCCGCCGCTTGTATCTGGAGCGGGAGCAGGAGCGGGAGCAGGAGAGGATTAGTTCAGATTGGCTTGGATGAGGCTTTGTCGGACTTACCTCGGGTATGTGGGAGAGCAGCTCGCTGAGCCGGGCCTGCGGATTCTGTGGCGACGAGCTTTGCAAATAGGAGCGCAGCACCTGAATGTAACGCTCCTGTATGCTCTCCAGTTCCACTTCTGCTAAGGGTCACAAGGAGATCAACATGAGTTGGGTACAATTGGCTTGAATGCGGACGTACCTTTGTTCAGCAGTATGTAGACCTTGAGGCAGACGTACTCCTCCATTTTGAGCTTGATGCGCCGGAACATGATCGTGATCTGTGTCATCTTGTCCACCATGTGGCCCACATCCAGCTTGAGCTGCTCCATGGCAATCGGCTGGCCCATCAGCGTGGTAAGGCAGGTCTGGAGCGTGCTCAGATGCGAGTTAACCTCGCTTACGAATTCGGGATCATCCTTGTGCAGCGGCATCGGCAATTGGCTGGCCGTTGGCGTTGATGTTGGTGCCGGGGAGCCGCCGTGCCTGTTGCTGCCGTGATTGTTGCTGGGACTGTTGGCGCTGCCAGTGCCGGTGCCAGTGCCAGTTGCCGCGCTCGAGGATCGTTTGCCGTGCAGCGCCTGGTAGGCGGCCGTGGTCAGGATGAGTATCTCGTGCCATTTGTCCGTGAGCAGCTTTGTGTGTATCTCGACGGGTATTTCCAAGTAGAAGGGCAGCTTCTTTGTCCACGACACCAGTTTGTGAACAATGGAGTCGCCAATATTGCACAGCTTCTCACTGATCTCAGATTTGTCCTCAAGGAACTCGCTGAAGTGCGGCAGCGTGGCAATATCCTCCATGGCATCGCAGTCGATCAGCGTCTGGATCATGGACAGCGCATGCTCGTACGAGATCTGTCTGTCCTTCGACGAGCTGACCGCCGAGTCCAGACGATGGCGCAGATGCACAATCTCGCTGGGATTGGTCAGCGCCGTCTTCAATATAGTGCCATTCATCAGATGCGCCGGCAGCGACGCCTGCTGCTGTTGCTGCTGCTGCTGTTGCTGCTGCTGCTGCTGCTGTTGCTGGTGATGATTGTGGTGCTGTTGCTGCTGTGCCGCATTCGGCGGCGGCGGCGGCACGTGATGCGGGGAAGATAGCGACAGATGCGGCGACGATTGTTGCTGCTGCTGTTGCTGTTGCTGCTGATGCTGCTGCTGTGCCGGACTGTGCATGGGCGGCGGCTGCAAGTGCTCGGACTTGAGCACCGGACCCAGGAACATGGGCTTTAGCTCACCAGCGGCCGCATGGCCAGCGGCCAGCAGCTTCGATTGCTGATGTTGATGCTGTGCAGCGGCTGCCACAGCTGCCGCCAACTGTTGCTGCTGCGGCGAGAGCAAATGATGCGGCGACAATTGCGCCGGATGACCATGTCCACCGCCAGCCACATGATGATGATGTATGGGCGACAGCAACTGTTGCTGCTGTTGCTGCTGTTGTTGTTGTTGCTGCTGCTGCTGTTGCTGTTGCTGCTGTTGCTGCTGTTGCTGTTGCTGCTGTTGCTGTTGTTGCTTCTGGTTGGTCTTCTTGTGCTTCTTGTACTTCACCTTGTACAGATTGTAAACGGCGCCGCTGTTGCGTCCACCCGGCATGCGATCCTCCCGCACGGCTAGCAGGGATCACAAACAAATATAATAAATACTAGATTAGTTTTGGCCACACTGACAAGCAAAAAAAGGCGAACTATGTGTGTGTGTGTGTGTGTGTGTGATAATTGTACGGCCAAGTTGGCTTCGTCTACTGACCTTGCAGCACCATGCCCTGCTCGATGCACTTCTTAAATCGACAATACTGACAACGGTTGCGCTGTGCTTTGGTTATCTCGCAGGTGCCGTCCGCGACGCAGGTGTAGACCCTGCGGTTCTGCACCGTGCGCTTGAAGAAGCCCTTGCAGCTGCAGGTGAGGAGTTAGCAGTTAGTTTTTTGCTTAAATTGGAGATTTGTGGCGACACTTACCCCTCGCAGGTGATGATGCCGTAGTGCAGGCCGGTGGCCTTGTCCTCGCATATCATGCAGACCAGCGGCTGGTCATCCTCGTCGGTGGGCTCGTGCGGCGCCTCGAGTGAGCGACCGCTGCCGCTGCCGCTGCCCGAGCTGGAATTCGAGCTGCCCCATTGCTGCTGTGCGCTCAGATTGAGCGCCTGCAGCTGGCCCGGCGGCAGCTGCGAGTAATCGCCAGCCCACAGGCGTTCCATGTTAAGGGCGTGCGGCGTTCGGAATTGATGCGGACGCGGACGCATATCCTGGATGCGCGTCTGGCCCAGCGAAAGCAGCAGCTGTGCCGCTTCCTCATTATTTTGCGGACCAGGCGTATGCGTCGGCGTTATCGACCCGGTTGACGGCGAGGAGGCGGTTTGCAGGCAATGCTGCTGCTGCTGTTGTTGCTGCTGCTGTTGCTGCTGTTGCTGCTGCTGCTGCTGCTGCTGATGTTGCTGATGTTGCTGTTGATGTTGCTGTTGCTGTTGATGTTGCTGCTGCTGCTGCTGGTGTTGCTGGTGTTGCTGCTGTTGCTGATGTTGCTGCTGCTGCTGCTGCTGCTGGCCGGGCGTTGGCGGCGGCGGCTCGTAGCCCCAGACCATGGTGCGCACGCCGCAGCTCTCGCCCATGATGACGGTGGGCGTGCCACGCGGCGGCGTCTGCGAGGGCGTCTGCGGCGACAGCTGCGACGACGAAGACGAGGACGACGGATGCGGTGAGGGGCAGAGCGGGCCGCCAATCACCTCCGGCTTGACGCCATTGATGCGCGCATTACTAAAGCAGACCATGCGCTGTGCGGCTGCCGCCGCAGCTGCCGCTGCCGCTGCTGACGTCGGCTGCATGAGATGCGGCAGGCCCGAGGAGGCGGCGGCAGCGGCGGCCACCGCCACCTGTTGCTGCACCTCGCTCTTCACTCGAAACAAAATGGCCGCATCGCGGCTCGGATGACGCAGCGATTGCAGCGAAGCGGAGTGCAGCAGCGACTGTTGTTGCTGCTGCTGCTGTTGCTGTTGGTGTTGCTGATGTTGTTGCTGATGTTGCTGCTGATGTTGCTGTTGGTGATGCGGCGACAAATGCCGCTGCACCTGAACAGAACCAACGGATGAGGTTGGCTCCTTCTTGACGCGTATCAGCGCATGCGGCGAATGTTGCTGCAAATGCTGCGGCGATTGTTGCTGCTGCTGCTGCTGTTGCTGCTGCTGCTGCTGCTGACCGAGGAGATGCAGGTGCAGCTGTTGCTGAGTCAGCTGCTGCATGGACTGCATCGAGAGCTGCGGCAGCTGCAGCTCCTGAGGCGGGCTATTCTTGCGCAGCGTCAGCGGCTGCGTCAGCTGCTGGTGCAGATGATGCGTCTGGACAATGGAGGCGGGCGTCAAGCTGCCATGCCCATGGCTCGACAAATGGCCGTGCGGATGGCCATAGGCATGCCCATGATGCTGGCCCGGATGCGGACCCGGACTTCCGCGACTTATGTGCTGCGACGAGCTGATGGAACTGGAGCTGCCCAATTCGCGTTCTCTTTCTCTTTCTCTGTCCCGCTCTCTGTCCCGCTCTCTGTCCCGCTCTCTGTCCCGCTCCCTGTCGCGCTGTGTGGTCGAGGAGGGCGAGGCGGGTGGCGGTGGCTCCGCTTTAATGCGCGACGGCGTAACCAGCACGGTCACATGACCCGGAGCCGCCTTCAAGTCGCGCTCTCGTTCCCGTTCCCTCTCCCGTTCCCTTTCTCGTTCCCGTTCTCGTTCTCGCTCTCTTTGCTCCCGTTCGCGCTGCTGCTGCTGCTGCTGTTGCTGCTGCTGCTGCTGATGGTAGGCAAGCATTTTGGTGGGCGAGGCCAGGATGCGCTCCTCCTTAACGGAGCGTATAACGCTCAGGTTGCTGTTGTTGCTATTGATCTTGTTGCTGCCGCTGCCACTGCCGCTGCTGCTGCTGGCCAACAGCCCATTGGTGGGCGTGCCGCTGCTGCGACCCGTTGTCGTTGAGGGCTTCTCCTCGAGCGAGTCGGGCGAGGCCAGGCGACTGCTGCTGTTGCTCGAGCTGGACGCGCCGCCATTATTGTGCGGCGGTGTGGGCGTGCCGCGCGCATTCAATGCCAGTGAGAGTGCCTCTCCGCCGCCGCCCCCATTGCCGCCGCCGCCGCCGCCAGTGTCCAGCATGGCGCTGGGCGGCGTGCCGGCTGGCGGCGGCGGCGACATCACTGTGGAGGCAGCTGCCGCTGTTATCGCACTGCTGGATGAGTGTATTTCAGTCTGTTGATGCTTCACGGATCCGCCAGCCGATCCTGTGCCTGTTGTTGTTGCTGCTGCTGCTGCTGCTGCTGCAGCTGCAGCTGCTGCCGCCTTAGCTGCTGCTGTCGCAGTTATGGTAATCGTGCTGCTCGGACATGTTGCCGCCGACGTGGATGATGTTGCTGCCGCCGCTGCTGCTGCTGCTGCTGCTGCTGCTGTTGCTGATGATGTTGTTGTTGATGTGGAGACGGCAGCTGCTGCTGCCGCCGATGTGGATGCCGCTGTTGTCACCGTTACCGTCACCGATGGCAGCGCCGGCAACGCTGACAGCGACGCACCTGTGCCGCTGTCGCATAGCTTGGGTGACATCGGCGCCAATAGATCCGGCGACGAGGTGGATGTGTCCGCTATGGACTCGCCGTCACTGCTGCATCTTGAATCGATTTTGCGCCGCTTGAGTTTGAGGTCTTGAAAAAGGCTCATTTTATCGAGCTCGCTGTACGGGCCACGGCTCAGTGTCATAATTCCTGCGGCAGAGAGGGTGAGAGAAAGAGGGAGAGAGAGAGAGAGAGAGAGAGGGGGGCATAAGTGATTGCGGATATATGCTTCACATTAAGGAACTCAACTCCATATAACAACATTTACTATTTACAGCTTAATACTAGAAATACTTAAAGAGAAAAGAAAACAAACACGAGTCTTCGAGTTCGCATTCAAAAAACTGAAATATATGTTCCAGCCAGGAACACGAGACCCGAAATCCTTCCAGACCCGAAAAGGATCTTAAAATCAAACACATGTTTACTTAAGAGGCTACATTTTCAACAGATCGTTCCTATAGCAAGCCTTAGCTATATATTAAATGTGTGAAGCCTAAGCTTTTTTCCAACCATTAAAATGTGCTATAAAGGGTATACTGTTTTTGTGCAAATGTATGTAACGCGCGAAGGAAAACTACTCTGAGCTCACAAAATACATATATATAGATCTATTATATATATATTCATATATGTTCGTGTACGTCCGTCTGCGTGTCCGTCCTTCTATCCGTCTGTTTGACCTCGGAAATCACAAGATCTAGAAGCTTGAAATTTGCAATTTAGATTCTTGTATACCCTGTCCAGAAAGAGTACAACAATTTTTCGATAGCTTTTCCATTTGTTAAAATATCGATAAATATCGATTTTAAGACATCCTTATTTATGCAAATCCCGAAGAATATATCATATAGTTACACCAAACTTGGAGTCTAGCATCTCGTTAAGTATGCTCACATTCACACTCAAAACATTTCAGTTTTTGAATAACTTTGCCCACTTCACTTAAGCTTGATATAAAACCTGAGAAATTCACCAAGAATGCGGGACAGAGTGAAGAAGAAGGAAACCGAAGTGTTTGTAAAAGCAACCTGACACTGGTTACAGGGTATCTCCTAGTCTTAAAAGTGGGTACAGTATACCCCATACTGTCTTTGTGCAAATGCATGTAAGTGGCAAAACGAAGCATCTTTGAGCCCATAAACTATATATAATATAGTAATATATATTCTTGATCAGCATCAATATTTCGTCGTTCTGTCCTACTTTCCGTCCATCCGTCTTTTTGTTCGTCCGTCTTTCTCTCCGTCTTTCTATCCGTCTGTCCATATGTCCGTATGTGTGAACGCGTTGGTCTTTCAACCTTCCTTTTGTGCTCAGGGTATCTTCTAGTCGGGCACTCCTATTTGTTTTTACATTGTTCTATTTTGAGCTCTTCACACTGAGTTAGTTGAGTCTGTCTTAAGATCTGGCTCTCTTGAAGAGCTAAGCAGTTCCTAGCCAAAATATTCTTGTATTCTTGTTCTGCTTGTCTGAGAGATGTTGATGCTACGTTTCCCATGGCCATGACTTTGTCTCAAGCTGAAATCGTTTCGCATGGGTGTTAACTTGTCAAACTTGATTTGGCGTTTTAGAATTTCAAATTTTCATTCAAATTGGTTTTGTCAATACCCTGCTTTCAAGCAGGGCATATCGGCTGTCTCTGGCTGCGCTCCATCCGAATATTCAAGCAACATTCTGGAAACTGGAGCATTTCATCTAAAACTCAGGTTTTGCCTTAAGTCCAGGTTTGACCTATGAAACAATTCTGTGTTTTATTTATAATATCAACTTCCAAATACTTAAACTTAAACTTAAACTCGACTTGCTTAAATAAATCTCGAAGCTTCGAGCTTAAAACACATTGGCAGTTGACACTTCACAGAAAATACAGTAGACACTCACTAATTGCGCCGCTTCGACTTAAGAGTTGATTATATTTGAAGGAGAGACGACTTTCTGGTTCTTACCAAACATTTGAATGCCAAAGAGCTTAACATAGGCAGATAAGAAACTTTGCGGAAATCTTTTAAAAATATCTGAAAAATTCCAGCTACTGCAAAATTTGAAATCCAACAAGTAAGAGGTTCTAGTCGGGAGCTCCCGACTAGGGGATACCTCTTCTTCCAACATCAAATGCATATATATATTCTATTTTAGAAGCTATATGTCAAGTTTGGGGACTCTAACTCTTATTATTTACCAAAACTGCCCAAAAAATAGGATATCGATATCGATATCGATTTTTATCGATTGCTTGGAAACTGAGTAAGTTATCGATTATCACGCAGGCACTAGGAGCACCTACATCTAAAATTTCAAGTCTATAGCTCTTATATGTTACGCCTGGAGTTATGTCGTTTTGGAACGTCATATCTCCACTCGGAGCTATTATCCGAGATATTATGTCGTTTTGGAACGTCATATCTCCAGCGCGAAGCTATTATCCGAGATATTATGTCGTTTTGGAACGTCATATCTCCAGCGCGAAGCTATTACTCGAGATATTAAAAAAAAAATCATCGAAAAAGTTTCGATTTTCGCACCGACCTCGATTTTGAAAAAAAAATAATCTGATGATTTGGAATGTCATATCCTCGCGCGGAGTTATGTCGTTTTGGAACGTCATATCTCCGCGCGAAGCTATTACCCGAGATATTATGTCGTTTTGGAACATCATATCTCCAGCGCGAAGCTATTACCCGAGATATTATGTCGTTTTGGAACGTCATATCTCCAGCGCGAAGCTAATTCCCGAGATATTATGTCGTTTTGGAACGTCATATCTCCAGCGCGAAGCTATTACCCGAGATATTATGTCGTTTTGGAACGTCATATCTCCAGCGCGAAGCTATTATCCGAGATATTATGTCGTTTTGGAACGTCATATCTCCAGCGCGAAACTATTACCCGAAATATTTAAAAAAAATCATCGAATAAGTTTCGATTTTAGCATCGACCTCGATTTTGAAAAAAAAAAAATCTGATGATTTGGAATGTCATATCTTCGCGCGGAGTTATGTCGTTTTGGAACGTCATATCTCCGCGCGAAGCTATTACCCGAGATATTATGTCGTTTTGGAACGTCATATCTCCACGCGGAGCTATTATCCGAGATATTATGTCGTTTTGGAACGTCATATCTCCAGCGCGAAGATAATTCCCGAGATATTATGTCGTTTTGGAACGTCATATCTCCAGCGCGAAGCTATTACCCGAGATATTATGTCGTTTTGGAACGTCATATCTCCAGCGCGAAGCTATTATCCGAGATATTATGTCGTTTTGGAACGTCATATCTCCAGCGCGAAACTATTACCCGAAATATTTAAAAAAAATCATCGAATAAGTTTCGATTTTAGCATCGACCTCGATTTTGAAAAAAAAAAATCTGATGATTTGGAATGTCATATCTTCGCGCGGAGTTATGTCGTTTTGGAACGTCATATCTCCGCGGGGCGCTATTATCCGAGATATTATGTCGTTTTGGAACGTCATATCTCCACGCGGAGCTATTATCCGAGATATTATGTCGTTTTGGAACGTCATATCTCCAGCGCGAAGATAATTCCCGAGATATTATGTCGTTTTGGAACGTCATATCTCCAGCGCGAAGCTATTACCCGAGATATTATGTCGTTTTGGAACGTCATATCTCCAGCGCGAAGCTATTATCCGAGATATTATGTCGTTTTGGAACGTCATATCTCCAGCGCGAAACTATTACCCGAAATATTTAAAAAAAATCATCGAATAAGTTTCGATTTTAGCATCGACCTCGATTTTGAAAAAAAAAATCTGATGATTTGGAATGTCATATCCTCGCGCGGAGTTATGTCGTTTTGGAACGTCATATCTCCGCGCGAAGCTATTACCCGAGATATTATGTCGTTTTGGAACATCATATCTCCAGCGCGAAGCTATTATCCGAGATATTATGTCGTTTTGGAACGTCATATCTCCAGCGCGAAACTATTTCTCAAGATATAAAAAAAAATCATCGATAAAGTTTCGATTTTAGCACCGACCTCGATTTTGAAAAAAAAATAATCTGATGATTTGGAATGTCATATCCTCGCGCGGAGTTATGTCGTTTTGGAACGTCATATCTCCGCGCGAAGCTATTACCCGAGATATTATGTCGTTTTGGAACATCATATCTCCAGCGCGAAGCTATTATCCGAGATATTATGTCGTTTTGGAACGTCATATCTCCAGCGCGAAACTATTTCTCAAGATATAAAAAAAAAATCATCGATAAAGTTTCGATTTTAGCACCGACCTCGATTTTGAAAAAAAAATAATCTGATGATTTGGAATGTCATATCCTCGCGCGGAGTTATGTCGTTTTGGAACGTCATATCTCCGCGCGGCGCTATTATCCGAGATATTATGTCGTTTTGGAACGTCATATCTCCACGCGGAGCTATTATCCGAGATATTATGTCGTTTTGGAACGTCATATCTCCAGCGCGAAGCTAATTCCCGAGATATTATGTCGTTTTGGAACGTCATATCTCCAGCGCGAAGCTAATTCCCGAGATATTATGTCGTTTTGGAACGTCATATCTCCAGCGCAAAGCTATTACTCGAGATATTAAAAAAAAATCATCGAAAAAGTTTAGAATTTAGCATCCACCTCGATTTTGAAAAAAAAAAAATCTGATGATTTGGAATGTCATATCCTCGCGCGGAGTTATGTCGTTTTGGAACGTCATATCTCCGCGCGAAGCTATTATCCGAGATATTATGTCGTTTTGGAACGTCATATCTCCGCGCGGAGCTATTATCCGAGATATTATGTCGTTTTGGAACGTCATATCTCCAGCGCGAAACTATTTCTCAAGATATAAAAAAAAATCATCGATAAAGTTTCGATTTTAGCACCGACCTCGATTTTGAAAAAAAAAAAATCTGATGATTTGGAATGTCATATCCTCGCGCGGAGTTATGTCGTTTTGGAACGTCATATCTCCGCGCGGCGCTATTATCCGAGATATTATGTCGTTTTGGAACGTCATATCTCCACGCGGAGCTATTATCCGAGATATTATGTCGTTTTGGAACGTCATATCTCCAGCGCGAAGCTAATTCCCGAGATATTATGTCGTTTTGGAACGTCATATCTCCAGCGCGAAGCTAATTCCCGAGATATTATGTCGTTTTGGAAC